TATATATCCTGTTGGAATGTATGCTCATACAAATAATCTTACAGTAGTTCTTTATGTGGTAAAAAAGCACGAGTACTCCCTGAAAAGTCTCTACAGAAATACGTTCTCAAGCAGCATCACAGGTGACCAAGCGCCTTCTCTGCCCAGAGTTTGCGTTACGCTATCCCCCAGCCCAGTGCTCAGAGTCAACAGCTCCTGATTGTTACTGGATACCTGGGGAGGATCATCCACAGCAAACCCCAGAGACCAAATATCGGAGCACCGGTCCAGGACAGCAGGATAACTGCTCCTCCTGACCTATTTTAGGTTTTGTTGAAGTTGGCGGTCTCGAAGGTTTGCAGACAAAATACTTTGACGCCATTCCCAGCACCCGCAAGGAGAACAGTAGCTGCGGTTTGCCAAGAGAAGATGCTTTTCACATTTTCCGGGACCCTGTTAACTCTGACCTTCCCTGGCCAGGAGTTTTGGTGGGAATGACCATCCCGTCCCTGTGGTACTGGTGTACAGACCAGGTGGGTTACTGCTTATTTCGTTGGCTTCAAGAACGTGTTACTGGTTGGTAGACCCCGATTACCAACCTGCAACGTAGCCTGGACTGACTGGGTTACTCTTTATGGTGGGAATTCAGTAGAATTTGAGTTACAAAGCTACAGCCAAGCCTTGTGCTCACCCTCAGTAGTCTGGAGGAGGAGGAAGTGCGCACATGAATGCAACCGGTACCGCATCACCTCCAGCTGCCAGCACACCAGACACATTTCTTAATTTCCAGGTCATCGTTCAGAGGTCCCTCGCTGCTAAAAACCTCTCTCACGCCAAAGGAGGCTCCTTGATGACTTCCTACCTGAAAATTTTACCCCTCTTTATGATGGTGATGCCGGGCATGATCAGCCGGATTCTTTTCCCAGGTAAGGGCTGAAGGAGAGATCTGTTCCCTCTAGTTATCAGTACTGGTTGTGCCGACTCTAAGGAGCTGGAGCAGCCTTTATTGAGTACATTAAAGGGTTGCAGCGCATCATGTACCCAATGCATGAAGAAATTTCCTCCCAGGTACAAGCAGGAGGATGCGCATCCTCCTGCAGCCGCCAGACACGCCTTCCCAGCGCGCTGCTCCGTGTGCTGGAGCAGTCAGCCGTTCTCCCACCGGATCCGTGCTGGGCTTGCTACCTGCAGCTGCTCGTGCACGTAGGGCCCTCCTGCACCCAACACGTCCCTCCTCCTGCTATTTAAGTTTGAGGCACTCGGGGAAATCCTGACATACCACCTTGAATGTTGTAAACTGCTCATCGGGTGGGAACGTGCGGGTGCGCCTGTCTGTGAGGAGCTGTGCCCGCGGTGGGTGGACAGCCCTGGCCACGGAAGCAACATTCCTGGAGAAGAATTAGACATGCAGGGCACGTCAGCTACCTCCACTGGCTTATCTTTTCCATGGAAGGAAAAAAAAGGGAAAACAGGGAAGCCTAGCGCTGCCCTTACCTCACTGCGTTGGGACAGTCCTGAGATACTTGCTGGAAGCTTTCCAAGCTTTCCAACATCCACTGTTTCACTTGGAACATAGTTTACAACATTCCGTAGACTAACTTGTTTAGATGTACTGGTTTATTGTGACTACACAACACTGCCTCTTGCTCCTCCTTGTTTATTTTAGATCTGGTGGCTTGTGCAGATGCGGAAGTTTGCCGAAAAATCTGTGGCAACCCATCTGGCTGTTCGGATATCGCTTATCCTAAGCTGGTCATAGAGCTTCTGCCTGTAGGTAAGGAGCCCGGAAACAGTGCTGGCACTGCTGGCGTCTCCCTCACCCAGCAGCCAAAAGGCGCCTGTGAGAAAATACCCTGCAAGCACAATTTCGCAGGAGTTCACGTTGGGCTTGGTGACAGCACGCAGCGAGGGAGAGGGGTATCCAGCACCCAGAGGTCTAATTCAGTCAGATTTGGGTAAGAGATAAAGAGCAGATGTTTCACATTGGGAATCAGCTGTTAACACCTCCCTGTCACTGGCCATTTTAAAATTGGGGCTACAAACATTTTTAAAAGTCTGTCCTAGTTCAAAGCAGAGCTGAGGGCATCTTCCAGGTGGGGTTACCGGGGATTCCTCAGGGCGGCTGTACTTCTCCTTCTGTTTCCAGGACTCAGGGGCCTGATGATGTCAGTGATGATAGCAGCTCTCATGTCCTCCCTGACTTCAATCTTTAATAGTGCCAGCACCATTTTCACCATGGACCTCTGGAAGCACTTCCGTCCTCGTTGCTCTGAGTGGGAACTCATGATTGTTGGCAGGTATGGGGAATGAGGATATGCGCGTTGTATCAGAGCCTGAGCGCCAGAGACACGACTCAGCACACCTTGCAGCCTGCTGCCTTGTACTGGTGTGGCATCTTCGTAGCACACAGGTCTGCTGGAGGCCTTAGGAATCACAGACTGGTTTGGGTTGGGAGGGACATTAAAGCCCACCCAGTGCCACCCCCTGCCACGGGCAGGGAAACCTTCCACTAGCCCAGGTTGCTCCAAGCCTCATCCAGCCTGGCCTTGGACACTTCCAGGGATGGGGCATCCACAGCTTCTCTGGGCAACCTGTCCCAGTGCTCCCCACCCTCTCCGGGAAGGATTTAAATTTATGGTTACAAGAGCCCCCAGCAGGAGTCTTGCAGGCTGAGCAGTTGGAAAAGAATGTTCTGAACTACAGTAACAGTATCTTTTTCTTGCCCAGGGTCTTTGTGCTGCTGCTCACGGTGGTCTCCATCCTGTGGATCCCACTGGTGCAGGCTGGCCAGGGAGGGCAGCTCTTTATTTACATCCAGTCCATCAGCTCCTACCTGCAGCCCCCCGTGGCAATGGTGTTTATCCTGGGCTGCTTCTGGAAAAGAGCAAACGAAAAGGTAACAACCCCGCCGTGCTCAGCGCAGTCCCCTCCTTGGCCTTGGGAGAGTCTTGCAGCTCCAGCCACCGTCCCGGGCTGCAGCTCTGCTGCCCCTTGTAGCATTTGGGAGAATGAACCCAGAGCTCTGCGCAGCCTGAGTAACCGCCACCAGTATGGGAGGGAGCAGTTCCTGCTGGTTTCAGGGACTCCGCTGGCATTTCTGGGGCACGATGTCTGTAGGGCTCTTGCAGGGTGTCCACAAAACTCGGAACCTGTTAGGGGCTTATTAGCCATCGGCTTATTTATGACATGGACTTGTATTATCGACATCAGGGGGGCTACAGAAGGCATAGTAAGCCCAGGGAGTGAAGGAGACAAAGCAAACGGCATCAGGGGTCCAAAACCGCTGGTTCCTCCAGGGATCTGATGCTGGGCAAAGGGTAGTGTCTTCCCAAACCAGGCTGTGGTTAGGCAGTGAGCAGTTATCAGCCTCCTGGGGTTAGGGCAACCGTTAGGATACAAATATCCCTCCTCAAAGCATTCGGGCTAAGATGTTATCCTTTTCCTCCATACCAAAATTAATGACCCACTTGACCCCACGGGGGAGTGGTACCAGACTACTGCAAGAGCATGGCAGAGCTGGACAGCAGGAGCAGAAAAGGGAGGGGAGGGAAGCCCACCAAAAAAAGCCACCACAGCAAGGAGAAAGCCTGGCCAGCCTGTAGCCTGGGAAGAGGGGTATAGCCCTGGGTGGATGCACGCTGCCTGCTCCGACGCAGCATGCCCTCTTCTCCAGGGCGCGTTCTGGGGGCTGCTGATCGGGCTACTGCTGGGCGTCATTCGGCTGGTGCTGGACTTCATCTACCCCGAGCCCCAGTGCGGCGAGACCGACCGCAGACCAGGCGTGGTGAAGTACATGCACTACCTCTACTTCTCCATGGTCCTGGCCGCCATCTCCACGCTGACCGTGCTGGTCGTGAGCGTGCTCACAGAGCCCCCCTCGGCAGAAATGGTACGTCAGCCCTTCCGATCTCTGGCATTCTTTGCAAATGGTTTCCAGGATGCCTCACGGCACATCCATGAGAATTAACGTGGGGATAAATAATGGAACTTTCCATTCATTCCTTATTTATGATCACACATAACCTGTAACAGCAATCCCTCCTCTGCTCCAGCACCCTGCTGCCATTTCAGATTTTGGTCCCCTAAATCCAGAGTCCCACCCTGGAAACTCGTCAACAGTAGATGCTACAAAGAGCTGTTCTTAAGTTTCAAATGTGTCTGTTTAATCCATGACAAATTAGCTTTTTCCCTCTATTTTCCAAGAAATTCCAGCTTCTGGGTCATCTTTATCAACTCTCTTACTAATTTAGTGAGGAACCATTTTTACCCGCAGAAAAGAGAAATCAAGGGCAGAGAGCACACTTCCTCTGGAACAGGTTTGTGCCAGTTTGACTGTTTTCAGTAGGTAAACTGAAGCTACAGAAAAACATCAATAGCAAAAGGAGGGCCAGAGGGACCTTCAGAATTCATACAGCCAACGTATGCTTCGAGACAGGACTAACCCGCTGTGTTTCTGAAAGACCTGGTGAACGTAATTCCTAGAAACACCCAGGGAGGGAGAGCTCACCCACCCTCCCAGTAGCAGTTTTTCCTCATCTCCAACCTGAACCTTTCCAGCTTGTTGTGCTCATGGCTTCCTGTCCGCCCTATTGCTGATGCCGAGAACTTTCCTCTTTTAATGAGTCTTTTGTGTATTTGAAGAAAACTATCATATCTCCCGCCTGTCTTCTCTTCTCTCAACAACCCCAGTTCCTTGAGTCATTCCTCCCTGGCCACAGTGTCCATTCCTTTTGCTCCCTTCACTGACCCGCTCTCAGCCCGCATCCAGTGACGGTCCTGTGCGGAAACGTCTCCTCCGCGGCAGCAGAGCGGAGAACGCCGTCCTTCAGAGTGTAGCTGTACCAGCAGCTACCGTGTTCCAGACAGAACGAAGCCAACATGCCGGTGGGAGCCATCGCTTCTGTCATTGCCAGCTGAGCACTTGGCTGTTCGCCTGCTCCCCACAGAGCAGGAGGACAGATTTCGGCCCCTCTGAGCGTTCCCTCTGCAGGCTGCCCCATCGCTCAGGTAGTCCTTTAAACAACCATGAAAGCAGTTTTCTTTAACACCACTCTTCATGCCATCAGATAAGTCGGCTTACCTGGTTCACACGCGGGGATCTACCAGTCAAGACAGACCTAGCAGTCAGCCCTCCCCCCGATGCTGCAAAAGGAGCGTGTGAAGCTGAGCGTCCAGCTCTCCAGATTGATATAAGCATTGCTTCTGAAAATAGTTCAAATGATAATAAATGTAAGTGCTCCGACGTCGTATTCAGTAATACCTACACTTAACAACCCTAGGTGTTGCGCAGAGGCTCTGAAGATGAGAAACGTTAAACCGACTTCCTCTGGATTTCTGTAACTTCAGGGCGTGCGGAAAGGTTTTTACCTGACAGTGTTATCTAAGCAGAAGTTTAGTTGCTTTTCCATCTCTCGATGGCGCTAGATATGCTCAAAACCAAGAAGGAGCTGGATGGGGTAGAGAGCTGTGCCCGTTGTCCTGCACTAGATTGGTGCCGCTTGCACTTGCTGCAAGAACTGGTTGAAAAAGGGGAGGGTGGAGGAAAAACACAATTGTGTTGATGAAATTCCATTTCTGTTTTTCAGTGATGTTTTCTGATCGACTCTAGCAGCAGGGAGAACCCAGAGCCCTGGGCGGAGTTCTTGACAGATCAGTGAAGGAGGATTTACATTTTTTAAAACTTGTACTTGTCGGTATTAGGTACAAACATGCGTAGCTACTCATTCTGCATTTCCCAGCGATGACTTTGCCAGGCTTGGGACACTGTTTCTGTAACCTGCAGCTTTCCCTGTGTATTCCTCTGATGTGTAAAAAGCCATTGAAAAGACCAGTAAGTTAACAAATCAGGGCGCAGCACTCCCAACTGCTGGGAATTCTCCCGTTTGTGGCGCACGAGCGCTGTCTTCCCAGCATTTAGTCGCGTGTGCGCTGACCCACACAGAGCCGAATTCAGTTTACACGTGTGCGGTGGAGTATCCCTAAATGAAGCAGAGCACACACCGGCAGGAGGAAGCTGGTGGGCACCTAGCACCTACAGCTCAGCTTTAGGCGTGGGCTACTGCCTATTAAACGTTGGAAGCAGCCAAACTCGAGCTCCGAGCTCCAGAGATGAGCGAAACTGGTCCTACAGCCCCGAAAGATGCCAACCGAAGGGCTCCCTACCCTCAGCGTAGCTAGAGTATTCATGGAAAGAATGCTGGTGCGGTTTTGCATCAGACCCCTTTGTACAGAACCACACTGACAAGTTCCTGGGATGTGTTTTTGTGAGATTTAATCCTCACTACTGACTGTCTCTCTAGGTACGACTAACGCCAAAGGGAACTCCAAGCTGATGACCGCCCTTCTGTGGCTCTGCGGGATGGAGCGCAAACAGGAAATCGCCCAGAACGCGGCGGCGACTAAACCCGAGCC